AGGGGGCAGCAGCAGCAGATTAGGGTTGAAGGGGGCGGCAGCAACAGGTTAGGGTTGAAGGGGGAAGCAGCAGCAGTAGCAGATTAGGGTTGAAGGGGGCGGCAGCAGCAGATTAGGGTTGAAGGGGGCGGCAGCAGCAGATTAGGGTTGAAGGGGGCGGCAGCAGCAGATTAGGGTTGAAGGGGGCGGCAGCAACAGATTAGGGTTAGGGTTAAGTTTAGGGTTAGGCTTTGATACCATATTAAACTTGATATTGATTTGTATTGATTGAAAAATAATAATAATCTGATACACCTTATATAGGTAAAACTAATTACACTTTGGACCCTAGACAATATTAATAATATAAACTAGACTAGTTGACTTAGTCTAACAAGCTGAAATCCCCAATGAATGATGAAGTTACATTACGTGTATATACTGAATCCATGAAATTATTATCATTTAATCATCGCTACTGATTGTTTATTGTTCAAATAACCATTTCATAAGTATGGCATCTTGATGAACTTACACCTTGACAATTGGCATTGCAGCTGATGACTAAGCACCATAACTTGTTGGTAATTTGGATTATATTATCTTTTATTTTCACGTAGTCATGCTGGATAACATCATTTATCATCTATACCACTTGTTTATGTATCTTATGGAGCATATACAGATTTTATTCTTCATCATTATTAAAATGTTTGATGCATTTTGTGTTTCGCCATTAGTAGCAAAAGGAACCACCGTTTTGCATAACTTTAGTAGAAGTTTGCAATTGGGAAAAGATATAAGTAGCTAAAAGAGCCTAGGTATCAGTCCAGTAAGAAACCTCCTCCTTGAAGTTTAGTGTCCATAACTTTTCTGATGATGAGAGTGAATCTCATACAGCTTTTATGATCCATGCAAATTTTGTCATACAGTAGCTACTGATGTAGTGTTTCAAGTACAGACAGAGTTTACGTTCTTAATTGTGTTTCTCCATGTTTCAGGTCAAATTTTAGTGTAAAATTGGTGGTGTTATTTAAGGATAAGCTTGTTAAAGCAAAGGAGGTTTTAGCTGCTGGTCATCAACCGCGTCCTTTGATGGAAACCATCATTGTAACCCTCGCACATCTTGCCTTGCACAGTGAGAAAATTGAGTTGGAGGTAATCTTCTTAGATATGAAAAATATTTTATTGAACTAGACATGTTCTTGACATGAAATTGGAGAATCAACTATTGGGCAAAGGGCAGCCAAGCCTGGTGAATGGTTGCAGAACTCCTGAAGCAAATATTATTAATTAACAGGATTAATGATACACAAAAAACAGGTAGAAAGAATTTGACTGCATCAACCAACAGTGCGCTGGTGCATTTCAAGCCAGACAACTGGATAATGCAAAATTTTGTACCTCAATTTTTTTTGGGTGCTTTGCCTGGATAAAGAGGGTGATGATGGTGCTCCTTAATTGTCTTAATACTGATTTTCATATGTTAAATCATTTTGAAATGAGTTTGTTTGATCATCAAATGCTGCTACTTGTCAATGGCACAAGTGAGAGACGCCTTTTGGAGTTTGGGGTGCTGGAGAACTAGTTTGATTCAGAAATTGACTTGTGATGTACAAATTGAACAATTGGGAAGTGGGACACTTGTTTAAGTTACAACTGGGTTAGTTTTTGTGATAGTCATGTTCCAAAATAGCAAGAGAACAGAGATTTTTGTGAAAAATATTCACCGACTGGTCTTTTTTTAATTTGCTGGTTTGATTTTTTCAAAGGAAAATTTATGTGGAATTATAACCAGCCATCAAGTTTTTGACTGGCTTTTCTGACTTAATGATTCTGTGTGGGTGGAGATCTGTATGCTTCTGACATTTTGTATGGCACATGCAGGCTGTTTTTATGATCTGTGTTATTGCTGCAATTGATTCTTCCCAGAGGTACTATTTTTCTACTCTTGTGCTGATGGGCAAAAGGCTATATATTTACTTCAATTGTTTTACTACAGGGAACTGGTTGGTGCAATACTTGATAATCTATCCCGAAAACTACAATACAGCTCCAGATCAGAGGTTTAATGTTTTCATTTTTTTGTCGTTTGTCATTAATCGTTTTCTTGATATAGAGATTATCAGTTGCTGAACTTTTCTTAGATCATTCAAAAACAAACGAGATATGTCTACTTGTTTTTATACTTCTGGAAGTACCGGATTTTTCAAGGTTCTTAAACATCAAGGCGATTGGAATTTGAATTTTCTGCAGTACATGGGAGAGCTTATTGCACCAATTCTTTTCTTCTGGGTCCACTGTGGCGTAAGCTTAGCTGCACTGGTTGAGGTAATATTGTTACAATTAGTTCATTGAAAACATTGCTGAATTTACATTTAATCTGTTATGGTCTTTGCAGACACGGGAACTTTTTGTTCTAAATGTGGAAGCTAGTAATTTCATTCAATATTCTTGTCATTGGCTTCTTCCAGCTTTGGTTTTGCATAACGACATTTCCAGCTTGAACTGGGTTGCCAAGGTGGGACGTTTTAACTTGGTTTTTATTTTCTTTTGGATGTTCGTGGAAATCCCCAAGCACTTGTAATATTTTACTTTCAACTTAAAGTCTCATTCTACTGTGGTTTTGCTTCTTGGGATTTACTAGCTGGAACAGCTGATTCGAGTTGTTTTTTTAGAAGTTTTATATGATAATGGATCCAAATCACACTAAGATATGTGTTGGAGCATTAATGAAAATTGAGTAGTTTGTTGACCTTAACTTCTTGTAAGTCGTTGGGGCACGAGTCAGGATTACTATGTCTGATTTAATATGTTTGAAGCTTTCACTTTGTTGGTTTTAACAATTATGACTGTTGAACAACTCTTTTTATTTTGTTTGAGCTGACATCCTTTTTGCCCGCAGGTTGCCGGTCAACCTTCTGCAGCTCTTATTAAGACTCAATTTGTACCTATCTTTTCAGTATGTATAGCATTACATTGCAGTAAAAGGTCTGGGAGGGAATCTGGAACATCAGTACTTCAAAGTTCAATGTTAAGCATCTCGGGGATATCCGAGAGTGAGCGGGATACACTTATCAAGAGACACATGGTTTGCTACTGTACCTTCAATAGAAATTTTGTGAATGAGTTTTTTTTTTGTACAGAGCTTAGTTATATATGAAAGAGTAATTTTTATTTCATATGCTTATGTCGCTTATAAATCATTCAGTCTTCATAGAAGGCGAGTTTCTTTTGATTTAATACAATGTATTCATACTTCAATAGCAAATATGACACTCTTGCCAAGTATTTGCAACATGTTTGTCAGTTATCTCTCTTAAAGAATTTACTTGCTTGTATGTTTGTTGAGTATTTAATCCTTTATGTATCCAATGTTGCAGCATGGTCTTCTGCATTTCTACATATAAAATGTCGTTTAGTGCAAGTCATGAGTTCATTGAATTCCATGTTAGTGTGGTTCTAGTTAGGCCTAGTTTTACTTTCTTCTTCCATTACATGAGTCCTTCCATATAGTGTTTATACCCTCCTATGGGGTATTGTAATGGATCAACTTGAACAAATGTGTCCTTTAAAAATAGAATAAGATTTTTTAGAGATGAATTATGCTAGATGATAAGCCCTCCACTGATGGGATTAAAAAACATAAAAAGAAATTGGACATAAAAACATCTCTCTCTCCCCCTTATATTTATAATAAAACTTTTCTGATTGCAACACTTTGTATTATTTAATTGCAGGTTTCTATTGTCAGTCACATTTTATCACTTTCTTCCCGGTTATCAGAACCTGCATTACCCTTCTTTCCCAAGGAGACGATTCAACGTGCAATTCAAACAGTTGTCGATGGTTTCTTGAACATGTGCATTGCCTCCTCATAAAATTGGCAAATGTGTATTCTTCAATGTATAAATTATACTGCCTTACCATAATGTTATTGTATTTTGTAGGGAACCAGTTCCTTGCAGCGTAGTCGTAATGGACAAAATTAACATTTTCCGCCCCGATAGAGTTTTTATGGTGATGCAAGTTTTGATGTTATACTAATTCATGATTTTGTGATCTTTTCTTATACCCAACAACCTCATGAAAATGGTTTTACGTTTCCATCTTGCTGTGCAGTTCATACTTGAAATGCATCATAAAATTACAGCATCGATTCACCATAGGCACAGATGTAACAGGTTGTCTGGGATTGAGGTGCTCATTAATGTTCTTGGGCATAGAGCTGCAGTACCAAGCACGTCCAAGTGAGTTCAGGCTTGCACTTTTTTGCTTCTTGAATGATGCTTAATTGCTTATGATGTTTCAGATGTTATCTACTCAGAAAATCTCCACTATGATTCTTCAGTTATCTTTTCAACTTGGTGGGGCAATTCATTGATTATGGTCCTTTACAAGACCAATGTTGTCGGATCATTTCTACACTGCTCAAAACACTTAAGGACAACCAATCCAAAGTCGGTATTGATGTGCTTGGTGAACAACTTCAGGTTCATCGCTTGTTTCCCTACATGATCTTTCTTACTGGTTATTATATGCGACTATTTTCTTCTAAGCTTTGCTATTCTTGTGGTGCAGTTTCTGGTATCTAAGTTAGTTGAATGTTGCATTGCCTCGCAATCTGATTTCAAACACTCCCGCACTCGACCATCTGAGGCTTTATCACTACTGCATGAACTTGTTGTTGATTCTGATCCATCTCTTCATAAGCATATCAAAGTATGTTATTTAAGTTGGGATTAAACTATATAAATTTCACTGCTGCTCAGAAGGCTTTGAATTTGATGTCTTCTAATATCAGCCCGGGATCTTCTTTTTCTGTGTTTTAAGCTTGAGTGTAAGCATCCATCTACATTTGACAATTGTGCTATTTCAGGAACTTGGGCCTTTTCCTGTATTTGATATATTTGATAGAATACGTAAGTTCCACCTTGAACTATGCCAAGAGTACTCAGCAAGAGACCACTTATTAGAGGTAAATTGCTTTTTTTAGGATGTTCGGATGTGTTAAATGTTTTTTTTATTATAGTTAATTTTTATTTTTGTTGGCTACTTTTCACAGTTTTCTTTGCCAAAGCTGTTAGCTGTGTTAATATTACTTTTTTGTTTGTTTGTTTTAGTTTGTGAGGAGATCTAGTTGTCTTCCACCACGGTTGGTTATATGCAGGTGATCAGTTTTTCTCTATTTGATTGTGGAAACGAAAGCTCATATCTTGATTGAACATCTTGCTTTTTCCTATCTCGTTGCATAAAAAAGATATATGTCAATTATACTGGATAGTAGAGTTTAATTTATGTCTTGGAGTTGAGCCCCTCTTCTCCATCACTGTTCGTTCCCCTCTTTCTCTTCCTTCTTTATTAGTCAGTTTTTTTTTTGTCCCATGCTTTCCATTGGTCACCAACCATCCACGACTCCTTTCATCTTGGCTGTATGCAGTTCATGCAGATTGCAGACATAAGTATATACAATGCATATATTTTTGTAAATGCTATTCTTTGCAGATTTTTGCACCATAACATAAGTGTTAATAGACTCTTGAAGATTACATCCAAAGATCCAATCCATGATGGTTTTGTTCTAATGCATTGAATTTAGAATGACAACAATCATAATTATAAATGTTTTAGTCCAAACATAAAAATAATGTGTAAATGCATAATCTATTGCTCAGGTCAAATAAATGTATGACCCTGTTTTTGGTTTATTCTTGCAGTCTCAAGGCGTTGCACAATATCATGTTCACAGGGTTTCAGCCTGAAAAGAATGCAAGACAATTTTTTGGAGATGCATTTTGGCAATATGACCATGAAGTTGTACATGCGGTTTGGACTCTAGTCTGGATGGCCAGGTCAGACGCAACAAACAGTTTTGGAGCACTTGTTTCTGACTTTTTATCGATGGTCTCATTCTTAAGCTCCTTTCATTTCCCTTTCTTCTTCCTGCACTATATTATGCCATTGATAGAATCAAGTGATAAAGAATTATTTCCTGTTGGGCTCCAGATCGGCATTGGGGATCCACATCGCGTTGTTTTCCATCTTCCTGGAGAGTCAAACCGGATACATGTGTGTCGGCCTCTTTATTCTGATAGTGGTAGTGGCTTTAGTTTTCGTATGGATTCAGGTTTATCCGAAGAGCTCTTAATTGCAGTGATGCGGCTTTTGAAGAAGTATTTGATGGATGAATCTGTTGAGATAATTGAGATGGCATCTCAAGCATTACGTGTAAGTCAATTATTAACATGTAACCACTCTAACTGATTATATGATTTAAATTCTGGTGTTCAAATTGGTAACTTTGTATCCCATATGGATGTGTCATACATAAGCAACAACAGTAATCATGTTAACACCTCAACTGGTCCAGTATGAGGAGTCTTCTTGCTCTCACATTGAATATGGTTAAGACACTGCCATTATTTGATTCTATGTGTGAACTAAGTTTGATCATTTATTTGTCTATTTTGGACCAAAATGCATGTGAATATGGAGATACAATTATTGTTCCAATGATAGTAGTTATTATACTCATCAAGTTTACAAACATTCATGTTTATGCTTAATGTATATCTAAAAACTTTTATAGTGCCATCTGAAATTGAGCTTACGACATTCTAAGCATTTTGTTTATCTTCATCCTTTTCAAGTTCATTAACATACTCTGCAATTGACCAGGGGATACTTTCAACTGAAAGGGGTCACCGAGCTTTACTATCACTTGATTCTTATGAGAGGTCTATACTTGAGGTAAGAATAAAAGTTTGTGATATTACATCTTTTTGAGTTATAATTCTTATTGTTGAGAATCTGGGTATTGTGGTTACAATCACTTGGATAAATTCTTGGATCGTGTATCAATTGTACTTTCCAAATATTATTTTTCGACCCTTTAAAGCCTTAGGTTTCACCAAATCAGTATTCGGATAATCCAAGAATCACTCGTATTTTAGGCAGAAAAACTCAATTATATCATACACTAGATTAAATGTTTTATATATGCTGTTATAGTGGTTAAAATACGAAATCCTGGTCAGTACTATGATTTGAAATAACAGTTATCGCGGTTCTATAGCGGTCCAAAAATAGCGGTTCATATAATAATTATTAAAACTATATATAGTATATATGTATGCATGCATGCTTAACAGTTAGCGTATTAGACGTATTTGTTACAAATATATAGTTAACAAATATATAGTTTCAACATCAGAACATCAACTTAAACAAGTAAGTTTCACGCAAAAAAATAGGAAAAGTGTTCATAAACGAGCTAATTGCAAGCAATAGGTTTAACATCTGCATGAACATCATCTAATTCGTTCACTTTTACGAGGAGGCTGGGCCTGGGAGTATCGAGCTCAAGTCAAGTCGTGGTCTTGTGGAGGATGATGATGTTGAAACTTGAAAACCTAAAATCTAATCTAATTTGTTGACTGCTAAAGAATGTAATTTGTTGGATTAAATGATTTAAATTATTAAAATAAAACAAATCCAAATCTAAAATTGCCCAAATTTTTTAAATAAAAGCCGAAACAAGTCTAATGTAAGCTGGTTACACAAAAAAAGCCCAACCGCAAATAGTGGTATTGCAGACCGCTATTTTGTGTTAAAAAGTGGTGATGTATCGGTAAGTTGCACCACAATTCTCAGTGCCACTATTACGAACGCTATTTTACCACCCCAATTTCTTTCAGGGTCGCAAACCGCTATTTCGCCGCTATTGCACCGATTCTAACAGCATAGTGTTTTATATATTTATAGGAGAGATCATCGGTTATGGAGTAGTTAGGCAGTTAGTAGATAAGTGCACGACAGTTACAACTGCTTGTGGATAAGTTAGAAATGGATCAGAAGCAAGCTCGGAGGCTTTGAGTCAGAAGGCAACTCAGGGGACAGTTTGATAGCAGCTTAATGTGTCTAATGGGACTCATAGCTTAATCGTTCAACTATACATGACTGTTTGCTAGTAGCTAAATGATATAGAAAGTGGCTTGTTCAGTAAGCTTCTTGGGGGGAGCTTTATGCAGAAAGCCAAGTTCTTTCCAAACCTGTCCCTTCCAATAACAACATGCTCCTTCCATTATGAAAAACCCTCCCAAACAAAAACCTTCCCGATTTATACCGACATATTAATCCACACAGATATTCTGTCCATACTGGACTTAGTGGAAAACCAACCAAACAGCCCCTCAGAAGCTCTGAGTTATAACCCTTCACGATCATAAGCTTCTGATGCAAACTCATAGCTAGGAAACGAAATTGTACTGTAACAGTTGAAAGGAATTGTTGCCCCTTTATGATCTTGGAGTGTATGTCTTCAGAGAATATATTGTCCCTGGTATACTGCATGTCTGATACATTTTACCATCTTTTGTGCTTCTTAAAACCCTAAATTGTGTTAGGTCCCCAAATATGTCAAAATTGCACCCCTTACCCATCTCATGTAACCCTGCTTAAATGCGGAGAGAGATCTGCATTACCATTCACAAAATTTACTCTAAAATTTGGGGAGGCGTCATACAAATTGGAACTGCCACCCTTGCAAATTCAAAGCTAAAAGATCATGTTGGTAGACTTTACTAATCTTCAAAAGGTTAAGCGGCTAGATAGAGGAATGGCTGCCAGTAGTAATGATGAAACTTTAACCACCTCTGAATCCTAACAATTGATGTCTGTAGATTAAAATGTTGCTATCACAAAACTCATGATGCAATATGGTGCAGAACATCCAAAATTGGGATTTTTTTTGCTACTGCACTTCACCTCTGCGAGTTAATTCTTGCTTTTTTGGTATTATACACACATAAACACACACAGAAAAAGGGGGGGGGGGAGTGAAGGATTAAAGTGGCACTGCTAGATGTATTTCGTTTGACATTCCTGCCTGTGCAAATACTAATAGCAGAACTACCAGCTATATGTCTGCTCCATTTACGATTAACCTTAAAGTGCTACTCATTGTGTTTATACTTGATGGTCTCTTCTATTTTGCATTGCATGCATAGTTCAGATCATTAGAATGATGGTTGCAATGCCTAATTTTTTCTTCACATGTAGGTTCATTCCAAGGGTGTTAATCCGGAGCTAGTTCAGAGTTCTTTAATGGATCTAGAAAGGAAGTTCAATGGTAAAGCATCCATTTCATGAGTTTCCTTTCCTAAAGATTACATTATTTTTTTGTGGGAGTATACTCGTTTTCCCAATGCTCTTGTGTAATGCATGGAGGAGCACTTGAGCAGTTTGTTAGGCTACTCCTTTGTTACTGCTTATCATAGAAACAACCTCTCTACAAAATGTGGTGAAAGGCTGCATACAAACAGTTTTGCTCTGCATCCCTCTCAAAGTTGAATTTGGTGCGCCTGGGTTACCGTTGTTTATTAGTACTGTTTTTGCTATGACTTTGTGGTTTGGTGTTGAATGTTTTCTCTAGTCTGAGTATAAGCCGGATGCTTTACAACATAGCATTTTAAATAGGGCAAATTTTCTGATTTTAACCAAACAAGGCATTCTTTTTCTCGGTTGAAGTGCTTCTTGTATGTTTTTTACACACCTCTGTTTCTAAATGAACCAAAGTCGATATGCTAAACTGAAGTATATGCTTCCTCATCTGTTAAAATTTTCTTTATTACTGATCCTGTTGTAACTATTTTATACTGCTGTCAGCTCAATCCATTTCCATTGAGAAGGCTACTATATGGGAGACTCGTGACAAATCCTTTCAGACATGGATCTGTCAACTAGTTTATGCCCTGATATATTTTTGTGATGATACTATCTTAAGGTACCATTCCTTATTTGTTTGTAGGTAATGGCTGTAACTGTTCATGTTTTGTCACGGTTCTGTAAATACTTGCATAATAGGTTATGTCAGGATATTGCGTTGCTGAAAGCTGAAGTTGCGGAGCTTCTTTTGTCAAATATTATGGTCAATCTTGCAAAGAGGAAGGATTTGGACATTGATCTGTGCAAGTTGATCTCTGTGAAGGTTATCTTTTTTTTGAAGTATATAATATTTATAGGCAAATGCTCATGCACACTTCTCACATTTGGTGAGGTTTGAACTCTTGACCTCCTCGGAAGGTGGGCATTTACCGGTAACCCAGGTACTGTTGGGCTATTGGGCCTTTAATGTTGAAGGTTATCTTGTTACACATGTTTAGTCCTGTTAAATAGGAAATTAAAATACAAAAAAAAATCACAGGAAAGAGGACTAAACATATGTGAAATTAAAATACAAAAAAAAAAAAGATCAGAATAAAGAGGACTAAACATATTGGTAAACATGTGTAGTCTGTTTTCTTGTGATTCTTTGCATTTTTAATTTCATTCTACTTTTGGCTTTGAAAGTTGATTTATTTGGTTCCCCACTTGTTCTTTCTTGGTTTACTGTATGAAGGTGATGATCATTGGTGAATCTTTTAGCATGTAGTTTTGACATGTTCCGCAGTTCCGGCCTAATCTCCAATTCAATTAGACTTCGTTGAATCTTCAAGTCTGTGACCTTCGTGTCTGAGATGGCTTCTATTTTCTAGTCAATCAGTATGTATTGCATGGGGTCTATGCCAACAGCTGTCTAGTTTTGAGCTAAATTTTCTTAGCGGAAGCAGAAATTATATACAAGTTCTTTTAATCTACTTGACAGCAGTAAGATACAAAAATAAAAACAAAAACCCTGAGGATGGTTAACTTGGATTTTTAGGATAGCTCTTCCATCTATGGTTACCTGAAAAGATATACCTCTGAGGTGCAGATATACCTTTGTAATTTAATCTACTTCATAGCAGTAAGATACAAAAATGAAAACAAAGCATGGTGGAGTTTTTGAAACCCTGATGATGGCTAACTTGGATTTTTGGGATAGCTCTAAATCTATGGGTACCTGAAAAGATATACCTTTGTATTTTAATATACTAAAATAGTGTGAAACCAATTAGCCATTATGTCTTGACCTTGGTTGCTAAATGTAATGTTTAAGACTCAAATGGAAGGCCAAGTGCTTGGCATTGAGCTACACACATCAAGCTATATACACCACAAAATGAGTATAACGCTCATGGAACTATGTAAAATGAGATTTCGTTCTCTAAATTGATGTGTGCTTAGCCACTTGAAAGATTGTCAAGCTACATCACACAATCACATGATGAATTGTGGGTCCTCTTAACTTTTATGTTTGTTTCATCTTATCTTAGATATTTGATAGAGACATAAAGCAGAGCTGCTGTTTTAGTTACTATTCACCTAAGTTAATGTGCTGTTTTTTGCAATCATCTGCCATAAATAAATACAAACATATATTGATATTTATGTATGATAGTATACCGTCTTTTTGAAGGAACTTCTGATGGTATGTGTTATTTGTTTCTTTTGTTGGAAATCCATTTGCCATCTGATGTGATCTTAATGCCATTAATTTATATTCAGGTGGTGGAGGAGATAGTCGTAGAGTCCAATAACTTAATTAGATCAGTTCAGGTTATTTTGGATGCACTCAATGAGCTTCGGATATGTCATGTAATGGAGAGGGCTACTTCTGTTCCATCTAAAAACGAAAGCTCAAAGGTAAATGCAGAAGCAGCCAGTAATATGTTCAACATGTCTTTGAGATGGTGGTCCATGTAATTAAGTTCTATTAGCAATACAAACGGGCTATTTTTAAATCTTGTTTTCCCTGTTTATCATCAAGCTCAAGGTACAGTGGTGGGATTGTAGTAGTGATATAACAATGCTCAGCTTTAATGTATGCCATAAATATGTACATGATTGGCTGGGATAAAGCTTTATTAAGCGGAGTTTCATAGTCTTTACGCTGTAAATTACAGGTCTAGAAAAAAAAAAAAAAAAAATTACAGGTCTAGACTATTAAGACACCGCGTTGCTAGACTTCCACTTTGAACCGCTTGTCAACCTTGATCTGCTAAGATTGCTCGATAATAAAGAAAGCAAACTTACATAATCCTTGGTGTTTCATGTTCACAATGTTAGCTGATTATGTACTGATATTTTGACCCTATTGCCACAAGCACTACTGTGAACTGCTTTGTTTTTTATTTGGCGCCTTGATTTCCATATAATGACCAGTAAGATAACTTGGGTATGCATGACCGGTTTATATTTAAAGCCTCCATTTTTATTCGGCGTACTCCTGCTCCCATGCAACACATATTATGGCTGAGGTATTAGTTACCTTCTTTGTTGCATAAGTATGCCATCAAGTTAGCATCTGAAAGGTGTCACGAAGGATAGTGGCTTTGTTGAATCTCTGTTTAGGTTTTTAAGTTGAATTTTCAGAACATCTCAACTATTGAACCCGAAAGTCCTGATTTGGTTGTTACATGTCTGTAAAAGTAAGTATATGTAGGCTTGTTACTATGTTACTAAACTGTTTGTTGTTTACATGAAAAAACATCATTTTCCAATATGATATTGTATTGCCTCTCATTATTCTTCTCTACAATTTAATTACTTTGGAGCTGAAGGACTAATACATATTTTGCAGTATGCAAAGTCATCTAGTTATAACTCTAGATCCCGTTGTACACCACTTAAGGCGAAGGACCATGCTGCAACGTCTAGTCAATCGCTGACATCTACTTTGTTGTGGGAAAAGGTCTGGATCTTCTTTTACTCATTCTAAAGTGGCCATTAAAGTTCTCCTTAGGTATTACTTGCACATCTTAGAAACTTGATTGAAGCATAATGGGGATGCTCTCTCTCCATAAGAATTTATGATATTGGTTCTACTGTGTTGGAATGTTTGTTGAAGGGGAAGGAATGAAGATGAAAATTATGGTCGTTTCTTAGCGTTCAAGTACCACTACAATGAATCAGTATGTTGTATAAGAAAGCAGGAAAATTTCACTAGTTAAATTTGATGATTGAAGATGTCAACCAATACTACACACTGAAATGAGAACGAAGAATAGGTTTCCGAACACACTACAAAATGCCTGATCTCCAGCTCCTAGCTTTTGTCTAGATCCGCTTAAGGAACATAATAGGGGTGCAATTCTAAAAGCCATAGGATATGCAAGGGACATATTCTACAAGTTCTTAGAAATTATTAAGAGCAGAGCTTGTGCTTAACAGAGAAGTTGAGTTTGTCACTGGATTCATTCAAAGGCCTGCATCAAAAAAAATTATACTCTGGAGAGACTAAATACGAATTTGGCAGATTTGTGCTCATTACTTCTTATAATATTTACTTTAACTTTTTTACAAGCTAGGGGTCTTCTCGAAAACACCTCTCTGTCTCTGGAGACCTGCATGCATCCTACGCCACCCAAACCCTACCTCCGGGTGGGGTATAGTGGGTTTGTTTGGTAGAGACTGAATAGAAAAACGTATGGTTTCTTATGTATTGCTGTGTGTTTGCTGATCATATATGAATATTCATTTAACACAATGTGATATCTATACTCCATCTTATGATTTACTTTTAACATAATATATTTTTCAGGTTTATTGGCTTCCTATTGACTACCTTGTTGTCGCTAAATCAGCCATTGTGAGTTACTTTCATTGTTAAGTCTCATAACCCATACCATCCCTGTTGATGTTTTTTATCGATAACTTAAGAAAGATAACTGATGCAGATTTTTTCTATTGTTATTACATTCTCACCTGCTTCACACATTAATTTTGTAGGGCTGTGGCTCATACTTTACAGCTGTCTTGTACGTGGAGCATTGGTGTCAAGAGCATTTCAACTGTCTCACGTTAGGGAGTCCAGATTTTTCCCATCTAGAGATGGTAAGTTAAATTCTTTAAATTTGTGCTTCTCATGTGCCTGGAAAGCCGTTGCAGGGAATGGCATATGGCATTGATTTTTTATAATAGTTCATTTCAGCTTCTTTAAGTTATTATCAGGGTATTATGTCCGATAAAGTATTATAGTTTGTTGTTAGTGATCCATTCTTTACTGTCATCAGCTGCCGCACCACATAGAAATTCTAGTCTCAGCAGTTACCCAAATAAACGAACCAGACAGTTTGTATGGAATCATCCAGTCTCACAAGGTACGATAATCTTTCTTAGCCTTACTCCCGTAAATGCTGCAATATGGCACATGTCTCTAGTCACCTTTATTTTAGCATGCGTGCATTCTTGATTATACTCATTCTGCTTTCTTTGAAAAAATAGTGGGTAATGTCTCATATACATCAGTCAGCATGTTGATTAACCTTAATCCTATTCCATTTACTTGTTTAAACGTCTCATATATTGTTGTGGGATGATATTCATTAATCCCTTAATGACGGAGGGATGTTCCATATTTGGAAATTAAGTCTTTTCAGAAATGTCAATTGCTCAAGTAGTAGGTAAGTTCTGTAGCTTGTCCCCAAGCGTTCATATGTTGTAAGAACTCATTCTTCAACTAACTGCTAGTTGGGCAATTGATTAGCTTCCAGGTATGAGACAGGACCTGCTTACTAAGAGGTCTCAAGTTTGAAGCGTCCCATTTGGGTTGTCATTTTGCTTGTTCTCTATGTTGTATTAAATTGTCTTTTTGCTGACCTGCAGCTGACATCACAAATAATCACTTTTGAGCATGAGGGTAACTGGAGTAAAGCTCTGGAGTATTATGATCTACAAGTACGATCTGAAGCATCGATTGAGATGGGTAATAGTTCCGGGGATGTTGTACCTGAAAATTTTCATTCGTCCTTACCTTCATCTTCCTCCAAGTCCGAAGATGAAATGAGGCAAAGAAAACCACACAAAGGGCTGATTAAATCTTTGCAGCAAATTGGTTGCACTCACGTATTGGATATGTATTGCCAAGGATTAATGTATCGGAAAGGCCGGTTTCAGGATGACTTAGAATTCAATGAGCTACAGGTTTGCCCAAAAATGTTTTGAGGGACGTCGTCTTTTATTCTGTAATATGACTGAAATGTTGATGTCATTACCAACTGCATGCAACATTTGATCTTTTTTGTGTGATCTTTTTCTTCTTGCTTCTACCTTTTTATAGTGATGTTTGACTTCCTTTCTTCTTGAATTAATGGGTTGCTGTTTGTAGTTTGAAGCTGCTTGGCGTGCAGGAAATTGGGATTTCTCTGTACTGTACATGGGTGCTAATTCTCCCAAGGCAGGTCAACAGATCAGACACAACCATTTCAACCAAAGGCTACATGGGTAATCAATTATGATTAGACAATTACAATGTGCAGAGCCATGCTTGATTTTTTAAATGGAACCTCTTCTGTGGATGCTAATGCTGTTTTTCTATTTTAAAAGTGAAGCGATACGAAACTTAAAGTGTGGCAGAAGGCACCTGTGCACAATGTGTCAATTTTAATCTATAAGATCGTCTGCTTAAACAATACCTTCTCCTACATAATCTGCAATATAGTGTCATCAGATGCTTCAACCCTTAAGATACTGCTAGGCGTGATCATTAGAGTATGTTAATTGGTTGATATGGAGGCGGACAAAGGGTTCTTGGGGCGTTCCAATGCTTCATGTGGTTCACTTATAAATCTAGTTTTCATGTGTTGAACTTTTGTGTTGTACTGTAGTCTTCCTTCAATTAACGATCAGCTTGCTGACCGATCTGCCTTCCATAGTTATGTAGTTAATATTTGGCACTGCATTATAGTGGTCTAAAAAATGTTGATAACCTTATAGGAAAGTTGATTCTTTTGACAGTAATGTTGTTCTTATGTACTGATCTTTATTCTTGTAAATGTAGTATTATATCTATTAGATTATTAATTTGTTTAAGTGCAGAATAGTTTCTCTTGATGACAAAATATTGCAGCCAATCAGAGCTTTTGAATCTTCATACACAAACTTTAGTTACTTCATTGACATATGTAACTAGGCTCTAATATTCTCTCAACCAATGAACAACCAGCCACAAACTTTGGCAATAGGATGAGAGATGGTATAGTTTTATTTTGCTAGAAAAGAAAACAGAAAAAAATGTATTTTAAGAGTCCAACTACGCCAAATATAGCCAATTCCTTGCTTAAGGTGCATGAGTTTTTAGATGAGTTGTTGGATGTTATATCTTATAGCTTTGGATACCATAAAACTTCTACAGGTTCAATACATCATTTGGTTATACATATATATTTACATAATTAATTTGCAAATATTTTCACTTGTAAAAAAATCCCAAAGTATTTTAAAGTGTCTTGCAAATGCATTGGGACCCCTCCTATCATATAGGTAGTATGATAATAGCTTCTAAGAACACACATCTGCACATGCATTACATTACTTTGATTTTGAGATGTTTTCATTCATACACAATCATCTCATTGTACTTGTTGCGGTGCTAGCTGTTTGAGGGCTTTTCAAGAGGGAGATATCAACGAATTTAACCTGAACCTGAAAGAATCTAAGCAGGTACTGGTGGATTTGTATTATTTTTGGATGAAGTAAGGCCTTCTTAAGTTTAACTTATAAGTCATTTTTTCTATATTAGGAGCTTCTATTCTCGATCTATCATGCAAGTGAGGAGAGCACGGAATATATATATTCCACTATTGTGAAGCTTCAGGTGCGAAATTCTCCGTCATTCACATTAATGGCTAAAGCTTGTTCATGTCTCTGCCAATCAGGCATGCACTGCTATGTAATATGATGGGTTTATAACCAATATTAGAAGACATAAGTTAAAATGCATGCAAAACCATTCACTGCATTTATGTGGAACATGGAGTTAAAGTTGTACATTCATTCCTTTGATCTCTGAAATCTTGTATTTTTTCTACTTGTTAAAACAACAGAAGTATGTCAGGCATACAAGTACCTATTGTTAATAGTATATGTTGGAGTGGTTTTGCTCTCTCTATATATTATATGGTCATCATACAAATGCCTAGTATTAATAATATATGGTTGTGGTTGTAATTTTTCTTAAAAAATTCTATGCTCCACTCAAACCTTTGTTCACTTTTAATTTTATCAATTATCCAATGAACCAGTCATAACATAAAATCCTGAGAGCTTCGAGTTATTTCTTGTTATCAGTTATAATAAGCTTCAAGTAAATTATTTACAGGAACAATTCAAAATCGAAACCCTCCAGCAGGTTTTTGCTATTTTTTGTTATTAATTCTCTTCCGGTTGCCTCTGACTTCTGCTATTTCTTGTTATCAGTTATAATAAGCTTCAAGTGGTACATTACTAGGCTATCCAATACTACTCTATACAAAGTATTAAAATACTATTCTTGTTAAAGGATTGACTTTAGAAAGGGGTGAATATGGAATGCTGGTTTCAACCTTTCTGTGATTTACTTCCTATGCAGTTTTCATGTACTGAAAATTGGGAAAGAGCAATATATTCGAAATTTGAAGGTTTCTATTATGGTAGAAAGTAATCTTGTTCATACCTGAACTAAATCATAGAGGAATGAGTAATCAAAATTGATCTGAAAGCATAGTATAGGCGGTTGCTGATTCTGGACCATGAACTTTTTTCTCTTATATATATATGATGCTTTTGGTAGATTTTCTGTCATCTTGGGCTTGCCTGGGATTTGCGATGGGCATGGTTGGATGGGAAGAAAGATAGTCACACTGATTCACAGAGATTGTTATCTGGACCTCTTATTCCCAACATGGATCAGGTATGAGTTGCCAATTGCTGATTTGGGTGTTTGTATCTTGTTAGGATTAAGTGCATATTCTGTCTAACCATTGTCGTTTTATACTTGAAGCTTGAGATTTATGAATTATGTTTGGGGCATTTTTAATTTGTCTTAATAGTTTACAATGTGTGTGTTCATGCCATCACTTCATACTATGTTTTTATGAAGACAGTTTTCCTCTAACCTCAGAGATTACTATATTCCAGTTATATGGAAGTACAAATATCCCCAAGTATAATGGTTAATATCAAATTTGAGTGCCATCAGTAGGTTGAGGAAGTAATAGCATATAAAGGACACATAAACATTAATCATTGCACAAATTACACGTGATATGTGTTGCTACTGTTACAATGGCAGCTCTTTTACATGAATACTGCAAGTCTATCTCAAGATTAGCATCCACTCATGGTGGAGATATCTTTACAAATGACTAGGCTGCGAAAGCCAAGCTACAAATTCTTCAACAAGTACTACCAAACTGACTACCACAGTACTCTCAGATTGATGGTAAATATGTCGGGATTTGTTTTTCAAATCTGTCGCTGCTGTTCAAAACTCTTAATTCTATATCAATAACTGAATAGTTGGAAATTTTCTTTTAGTACGTTTCTTCCGACAATTAGATTTCAAGGGAACTTGTTTCATACCGTCTGAGCGAGCATAAATGTGTCTACTTTTTAGGAAAACAACGATCCAACAAGTCCAAGACTCTTGAATACTATACGTGAAGGATGGAAATTTCTAAGTTGCTTAATGTCTGACAGGATGGGTGGGAGAAATTTCTAATGTTTTTAATTGTTTTATGTAGTTGACATGGTTGAATACGGAATGGAGTTGCATTCTGAACCGTGCACAGTTACATATGAACCTTTTAGAACCTTTCATTGCATTCAGAAGAGTTATGCTTCAAATTTTGAGCTGTAAGGATGGTACGGTCCAACATCTTTTGGAATCTGCATCAATTCTTCGTAAGGTGGGCTATTTAATTATTATCATCTTATAAATTTGAAATAATTGTTTTTTGCCAATGATATAATCTCCATTCTGTAGGGATGTAGATTTTCTCAAGCTGCTGCAGCTTTGCATGAGTTTAAGTTCCTCTACATTGGCATGGGAGGAGAAGATTCTAAACTGTATTGGCTTGGAAGGGTATGCCTTCTATTTTACCAGTTAACTTGTTCTGTGTTTCTATAATGTTGTTTATTATCACCCTTGCTACTTGGCATTTTGGCCAACCAACAATTATGCTGCAATGATGCATCATTCTGTATGTTCTTTCTTCTGTTATTTGTTTTCTTGTCTACCTTCGACAAATAAATGATTGCTTAACAACATTCAGTGCTTTCCATGGCTGTCCATCTACCTTACAGCTTAACCTTTAAAATCAGTTGGTAATTTAGGCTGCATTTGGTACATGGGATGGGACTGGACTGTACAGGACTGGGCAGGACAAAAACTCACTGTCCCATGTTTGGCACGACATGGGACAGGACAAAAACTCATTGTTCCATGTTTGGCACGACATCGGACAGGGACAAGGTGGGAAAAAATGTTTTTTTTTCCACCAAAATAGGTGGAACAAGGTGGGACAAAACTAAAAAATTACCAATCTACCCTCATTATAAATAACCCTAATATGGTATTTCGTGTATTGGTCACCACTTCCCATCGCCATATCCACCACTCCCCACAATCTCCATGTCTTCTATCATAACCACCTTCGACCTCCAGCCACTACCGCCCATTGCCGTCACCACCATGATGAGATTTACCCTCATTTGAAATAACCCTAATATGGTATTTGTTCTGACGTTCACCATCAGCCATCGCTGCCACCACTACGAGGGGCCACCACCAACCACCGTCAACCACCTCCATTACGACAACCTTCTCTTCTCGTCCTCCACAGTCACTGTCGACTGCTTCTACCTCCGCCATCACACTACCGCCCACCCTCGTCTCCACCACAATCACCACCTTCACTTTCACCCCCCATCAGTCACCACCACCTCTACCTCAATCACCACTACCTCATTCTATTGTTGCTGCATCCATCATTGTTGCTGCAACACCAATTCGTAAGGATCTTTTAAAACCGAATAAAACATATGTTTCATTTTTACGAACCGGGTTTTTTCGAACTACCATCAATTACATCAAAATCTTCATCCAAATTCGGTACTATTATATATGTATGTATTTATATTTTATACATATAAGAATTGTTTATAAATTAAATTTATTAAATATTTACTTGATTTTTGTCATTTATAACTATTATATGATATATAAAATCATCAAACAGCTTCTCAACTTTTTTGGGGGCAACTTGTCTAGTCCAGTTCTAACCATGCCATACACCAGACAGACAATTTGTCCAGTTCAGTCCAATCATGTCTGCCAAGCAAAATGTTACTTTAACAAGTAAATATTCTAGGTTATAGCATTTGCATCTATTTCTTGATGTTCACATAGTGCCAATGTTGGACGATAACATTACGTTTTACACATGAGGGAAAATACAAAGCATGTTTGTTTCTTCTATATGATATGTTCCTTATGGTCGGTTTTTTCACGTGATAGTTTCCTGTCTAAGCCTGTGTGACATTTAACTACCGGTATGCTTAAAATTTTGAAGTAACTATGTTGTTTCATCTTTTGTCATGGAATATGATTCATTATTTATCTTGTGTGTGTTGAGAGTTCATCATCACTTCCTACCTAATCATGGAATATGTCAAACTATTGTTCCTTCTTTGACTTTTTTAGTTGTGCTAGATTGAAGAAGCAAAGCTTTTGCGAGCCCAGGGTCAGCATGAGATGGCAATTAATCTTGCAAAGTACATCTCCGAACGCTTTAAGTTAAATGAGGAAGCAGCAGATGTATATCGTCTAGTTGGGAAGTGGCTGGCTGAAACACGCTCTAGCAAGTTAGTTATAGAATTTACCTATCAACCATTGGTTCTTACTTCCTCTTCATATTATTTACTTCTTATTTCCAAAACAGGGCAACCATTTCCCAGCATTATCCCCAGAACTAAAGGTACTGATGGGGGTATGCTGGGTAAAAATCGCCAATACATGTACCCTTGACTGGAAAAAAAGTTGCCAAATCTTAACATTGTAAGACAATGATGTGCAGTCTCACTTTACTATTTGACCTTGTAGCTCTAGGACTATCTTGGAGAAGTATCTGAAAAATGCAGTTACCCTTGCTAACGATCACCAGGCTACAGACAAGAAGTCCATTGCAAGAAAAAGCCAAACACATTTCCATCTTGCTCATTATGCCGATGCTCTATTTCGTAGTTATGAGGAAAGACTAACCTCTAATGAGTGGCAAGCAGCAATGCGCTTGAGAAAACATAAGGTTGTTCATACATATTTCATTTCATCTAGGTTCTAAATAAATGTAAGTTTTTGGTTAGAAATGCATAATCACCAGATTTTACAATGGAATGATTTGTAGACAAAAGAGCTGGAGGCACTAATTAGACGATACAAGAATTCATCCAAGGCAAGCCAATAACTAGACATAATTTTCCTTTAAAAAAAAACTAGACATAATTTTTAGAAGCTAAGTTTTCGTCCTTATGTTTGATTGTCATTTATTTGCTCCATGTGGATAGGGTGAGAAGACAGATTATTCAGTAAAAATACAAGAGCTGCAAAAACAACTTGCAATGGACAGGGAGGAGGCTAAAAAGTTGCAGGTAGAAATCAGTCTACAGGCATACTCATTGATTTAAAAAGTAGAATATATCATATAATCTTCTGTTGAGACTAATGGTTTAACTTGGTTATTTATCATTATTAAACTTCAAACTATCTCATATTATCTATCAGGACTTATGACATGTCACACATTCACTTTAACATGGTACCTAGGCAAACCAAGGCATTTGCCAAGAACCTAGGTGTCATTCCAACAAGGCGTGAATCTAGATGCCCTAATCATTCCGTGCTACTTGTCAGGAGATTGAATTAGGTTAAACAAAGGTTCTACTTGCTTTTGAAAGTTTCACTTCCACTGCCAGCACCCAATAGTCAACAGATGCAGTGTTTAAATCATGTCAATTATATTCTGATTTTGGCCTGTTCTCTATGTGCTGCCTCTTGACAACAGATCTGGCTCTCTACCACCTCTGTAACTGCTTTTGACACAGTTCCAGCCATGACAACCCTTCTATGGTTCTGGCGAGGTCAGCAGGGTTTGAACCTGCATTTGACACCAGTGTGAATTGCATTTTGTGTCTTGTCTCATCTGGCCTAGTCGCCTGACGTTGTTTGTCAGTTCCTCGCACCATTAACTTGCTATCTTGGATTGGTGAGGTGATCTCCCCCTGGGTTGATTAAGCTGGCATGCCATTTGATCAAACTGTCCATGTGGTCTGCTGAGCCTTGCTGGATCATTCTAATCCCAACTAGGCCATTTCTTTGTTGCTAGATCTGAAATCCTCCTTGTTGGCCAAAGTCCAGGATCAATATGCAATTTCTAGAAGTTGGGTCAGTTTTACAAATTCTGTGAAGTACAAGATCTATTTTTTAAAATTCTTAAAAAATGGTTGCTGTGTAAGTTTTTAAATTTCAGGTTGTTTTTGCCAATTTTCTAAGTTTAGGGACTGTTATGCTAAAATTTATTGTTTGGCATCTTTTACAAGTTCATAAAAATTCATGGATTATACAATATGTAGATTTTCCAAAATCAAAACCTTCAAGGACTATATGTAAATTTTAAACTTTTTTTTTCTTCTGCCGTCTGTTCCACCATCCAGCCTTTAGTTTTGGTTGTTCAATTTAGCTAGTCTAATAATGTTTGTAACAAGGCTAGTATACTCATTAGGATTCCTCTTTTTTTATTAGACATGCTTTAGGTCTGCACAAAACCTTCTTGGTTAGAATATTTTTTTGTCAATGTTGTCTTGAAAATGCTTCATGAATCTGCCAAACATTGTCGGGATGTCTGATGGGGTAAAGTTGTGCAAATCAACAGGCAAGGTGAGTGGTCTGGGGACATAGAGGAAGAGTTTAGAAGCAAGTCTATTCTAACCTAAGTCTGGAAGGGATAGTTTTATATACATGCTTCACTGGTTTGGTTTAATTTTTTTTGGAAAATAGCTAGATACAGTCCACCAACTCACAAAGTGTTTCACATGGCGTCCCTTATTCTGTTTTCACGTTATTCACTGCTTCTAACTATCAGCTCACTATGAAACTGGATATATGCCTAGTATTACTCAAAAATCACATGAACAAAGAAACCAAACACTTCCAAAGCGTATGCCTTGTTTCAATTCAAGCAAAATGGTGCATTTTTTAGTCGCCACTTTATGTAGCCATTACAGCTCCATTAGCTGTGCACGATGGGATCTCTATTTAAGTGGTGCATTGACAACAATGGCAGGGATACATTAATGTTTTGATGGAATAGGGCTCCGTTTATGTAGTACATTCTCCCTTAATTTCACAAGTATGAGCTCCTGTCATAAGTAAATCATGCATTCTGTGGAACTAGTATATAAATTATTCTAACTGTGATACTTAACCTTTCAGCAAGACAGGGATAATTTCCTCAGCATTGCACTTGAAGGATATAAGCAATGTCTGGTCATTGGGGACAAATATGATGTACGAGTGGTATGCTCTTATCCAAGTCTATCTCCAATTTCTGTGACCTATTTCAAGCACACCGTCTACGAAATTTTAATTTGGTGTTTATATTAATAGCTGAAGTTATTTTCATTTTGCCTAATATTGTATAAGCTGTGTTGATTTAGTTGTTCATGAATTTATCAATGTGTAATTCAGGTTTTTCGACTTGTATCTCTGTGGTTTGGTTTATGCACAAGACAAATTGTTGTAAATGGAATGCTCAGTACAATCAAAGAGGTACAGAGAGGAAAACAATAGTTATGTATTTCTATTATCAACAATTGATTCTATATGCACACAGATTTGAAAATGAGAAGATTTAAGATTGATAACCGAATATCACTTGTATTTCTCAGGTGCAATCTTACAAGTTCATACCCCTAGTATACCAAATTGCTTCAAGGCTGGGTAGCTCAAAAGATAGTCAGGGACCTAATACTTTTCAGGTTAAAGCCTAATGAACTTTCTGCAATCTGTTGTCATTTCAACTTTTAGTTTTTCTATATCATGTTTTGGTTTTGTTATCTGCAGTTTGCTTTGGTTTCTCTATTAAAGAAAATGGCAATTGATCATCCATATCACACAATCTTTCAGGTAGGTTATATTACTCTTCTGTACAAGTTTACTTACTCAAATGGATGGAAGTGTCTAGTGTATAACGCCTTGTTCCTAAAAGAAGTTTTTCAAAATTCAATCAAGTTCTAAGTTTATTCTGTTTTCTTTCTAGCTTTTGGCACTCGCAAATGGTGACCGTGTCAAGGACAAGCAGAGCAGTAGAAACTCATTTGTGGTGGATATGGATAAAAAGTATGCTGCTGAAAGCCTTCTAAAAGAGTTATCTTCATATCACGAAGCTGTAATTAGACAAGTATATCTCAGTCCCCATCCCTCTTTCAATTTGTAATTCAGACTTCCATAATTTTAAAATATTTCTGATATTAATGTAAGTTTATTGGTACTTTTCTTGATGGCTTTTATTATAGATGAAGCAGATGGTAGAAATCTATATCAGACTTGCTGAACTAGAAACAAAACGAGAGGTAATGCACACAGTTTTGGCTTCCTTATATTTGGCTTATTTTGTGATTCTCATCTGGTCCATTTGTAGAAACTGTTGGACCTTTTTTTAATGGACATGAAATAGATGGATTACTGACTAGATCCTGTTTACAGGATACCAATAAAAAGATTGCTCTACCAAGAGATATTCGCAGCGTTCGGCAACTTGAACTCGTAAGTAAAGCTTTTTTTTGCTTTGGGTACCTTGATTTTGCTTTCTGATGAAGGTTACTTGTAATTAAATTTGAATGTTTCAGTGGATGCCCAAAATTATTAATTCAGTCTGTGATGGTCTTCTTTTCTCTCTCTTTTCACTCTTTAAACCAACTCTTTTCGATCTCTATGGTTGCTATACCTGTATCACCTGTGTAGTGACAATGATCTGAATTGCTCTTCCTGTGAAAATGTTTCTTCTTCCTTGATTAGTGGAAGGTCAACACTAGCATTCTTGTTAATATCTTATTTCTTGGAATTTATCTTGTAAATATTGTGTTTCCTAAAGTAGTATAGTTAGGAGTAGATTTCCATGTTTTTGGTAGTGCTGTTTTTCCCTCTAAAACACCTTGTACAAATAACCCGTTGTGGCACTTGCATATTATGAGAAGTACATAATATGATTTTCTCTTTTACAACGCTTCTCTTATGTTTTAGTTGGATATGCAGGTTCCTGTAGTGACATCAAGTTTTCCAGTTGACCCTAGTTGTCAGTATGATGAAGGGTCTTTCCCGCATTTCAAAGGTTTAGCAGATTCAGTCACGTATGTCTACAAATTGAGAACAATGTCATCTTCTTGTTGTGCATTCTAGCCAGCATAACAGGCTAACTTTCTGGTTTCTTATTTCTAACATACACAGGATCATGAACGGCATAAACGCTCCAAAAGTTGTTGAGTGCCTCGGTTCAGATGGTAAAAAGTATCGGCAGCTAGCAAAATCTGGAAATGATGACCTGAGACAAGATGCTGTATGTATGCATAAATTTATGAATCACTTATTGTTCCTGTGTAGCACGTAGTTGTTGCATGAAGATTTTGCTCAGTAAGATTTCCAAATTTGGATGCATTAGACACAATATAGAAAGGTCAAGCATAGTATCTAGTAGAATGGTAGCCAGTTAGCCAAGGACAAAATTTCAAAGTACATTTATGAGCCGACCAACTATTAAGCAGACTCTGAGTTCACACTATGTGGTGAGTTGTAGATTAACTATATTCAATATGTTCATTCCACCGTATAAAAAATTGATTGGAAAACATGTTGAAGAACATATTTTGACTTCTCTTTTAATAGACCTTCACCTTCCTGGTAATTTGTTCATCGATATTCTGGTTTCTTGTGCGCTGAAGATTCTTACCTCTAAGTTTCCTCCTACCTTCCATGCCTATGACCACCACCAACGAAGAAAAAGAAAAGGATCAATAATTAGGGTTGGCTTCGGGTGAGAATGAAAGTTATGGTGAGAAGGGATCTCATCAATCCTAATTGAAGAGAACCACTAGATCAAACTAATGAGATACACTAGATCAATTCCCTTCTAAAGCGCAATTCATGGGTTGTTTTGAGATTAGCAGTGATCAAGGGTCCAAATTCCTTCTTACACTTTTCACCTTAACTCCTATTCTCAACAATCCTTCATCCATTAAGTAAACTTAATCTGGAACTTTCTAAATTTAAGCCTGATTAATGTGTTCATTACTTGTAATAAAACGTTCTGCAGGTAATGGAGCAGTTCTTTGCCTTGGTCAACACTTTCTTACAGAACCACAGGGATACATGGAAAAGGAGATTAGGGATACGGACATACAAGGTATGCTCATAGTTACTGTATATTGAAGTATCGGTGTATCACCAAAGGGTTACCGATAGAGCTCAGCCTCTTATGAGGTCAAGGGTTCAAACCTCACCAAAGGTGAGGGGTGTGCGTGAGTATTTTCCGTATATAAATATTATATACTCCTAAGAAAACCAAAAAAAGTATCAGTTTGTTTACTCTAAGTTGCGTAAGATTGTGAATGAAGTGCACAATTTTCTTACACTCCAGCAGTGTATTTCAGCTGTCCATTTTTGACATAAGAACATCGTTCTAATTCTCTTTATTTTCTGTACCAGTTAGAGACCTTGCATTGTTTTTCCTACTTTCCAGTACTAAATTTTTGGTTGTGATGATTTAGTTCACTTGTAAATTTTCTCAATCTCAACTATCCTGGAAACCTGTCAGTGGACTGCACTCATGCTTATGAATTGTTTTTAGATGCATAGGTCTGCAGAAAGTCATCCTATCCAAATAAAATTAACCGACCATAATTGTATATTTTATTGTAATTGGATCAGCTCATGTCCAAAATTTCAACATCCAAATTGGATCGATCGGTTCTTGGATAACAGTCCAAAATCTAACTAAACGGAACCTATCCAATATAATTAATAGTATGTTCAATATTGTTTTTAGTTGATATTTGTATGTAGTTTTTTTTAAGGAAATTAGAAAAATATATGAATAATTGGTTGAAAAATTGGATCAAAATATTGGATGGATCCAATCCGATCCAATGAATTAGCAACAGTGATATCCAAAGGATGGAACCGATCTAACCCAATCATCCATCGGATTGGATTGGATGATTGGAATGGATCGTATCTACCAAAATCTATTTGATTTTAACCGCTGAACACCTGAGGACTTGTTCTCTACCAAGTCATCCTCGAGAGGGGTGAAAACCGTAGAATTATACTAATGTTTGTTGAAACAGGTGGTTCCTTTTACTCCAAGTGCTGGTGTTCTTGAGTGGGTAAATGGCACATTACCTTTAGGCGAATACCTTACAGGAAGGTTAGTAAAATTGTGTTTCATTTTAATTCTCTGTTCAGTAATTAAAATACCGATACATCAAAATTGACAACTTTCAGTACGAGAAATGGAGGTGCCCATGGACGTTATGGAATAGGAGATTGGTCATTTCCCAAATGTAGGCAGCACATGGCTACAGTAAGTTGCTGTTGAACTCTTCCATGTATGCAGATATTCACTCATCTATGATCAGTATAGCTTACAATTACTTGTGCTTCATAGGAAAATAACAAGCGTAAGGCATTCCAAGAAGTCTGTGATAATTTCAGGTTTGTAACTTCTTAAAACATATGTCATCTAGGCTTAGGGGCCGTTTACCCAACACTTACCCGGTAAGCATTTATCGGTAATAATCAACACTTTCACTTAACTTACCGGTTAGATTTTAGTCCACTAAAACAACATTATATGTAACATTTTTATTTGGTAAGCGCTTACCGTGTAAGAGTCGTCACCCTCACTTACTAGGTAAGACCCTCCATCCTTATCATTGCTCTTACCGAGTAAGATTCTCGGCCCTTGTCATGTTCATCTGGTAAGATAAATTCCCTCGGTAAGCGCTTACCGGGTAAGCGTTTAGTAAACGGCCCCTTATTCAAGCTCTGTTTTTCATTGTTTTTTATTTCATTATCTGCAGACCGGTCATGCATCACTTTTTCCTAGAAAGATTTTTGCATCCAGCTGACTGGTTTGAAAAACGGCTTGCTTATACAAGAAGTGTCGCAGCTAGTTCAATGGTAGCATATTCTTTTTTCTTTTTTTCAGTATCCATGATTTTGTTATTTCGAGTTTCATCCACCCATATGTTCTACTAAAGTTTGTTTCATACTTCATTAGTTAGCATTCCAAATATGCATCTTCAAGAATCATGAAATGAGATAATAATTGTTCTATATGAAAGTAATTTCTTGAAATATAGGTCGGTTACATTGTGGGTCTTGGAGATCGGCATTCCTTGAACATCTTAATTGATCAAGCAACTGCAGAAGTTGTGCACATTGATCTTGGTGTTGCCTTTGAGCAAGGGTTGATGCTGAAAACACCTGAGCGGGTTCGTCTAAAACATCCTCGATTTTTCTCTACTTTGCAGTTTTAAAAAGCTCAACCATTGTTTCATATCGTTGATGTCTTCAATGTGAATCGTGAGTAGGTCCCATTCAGACTGACGAGGGACATTATTGATGGTATGGGGGTGACTGGTATTGAAGGGGTTTTCAGAAGGTGTTGTGAAGAAAATCTTTCAGTTATGCGAACAAATAAAGAAGCTTTGCTGACCATCATTGAAGTATGATTAACCGCTTTTTATCTTGTAACCATTTTAGAAAGGGTTATCCATATACTTGAATATATTCAAATCCACTGCAGGTTTTTATCCATGATCCTTTATACAAGTGGGCTCTATCACCTCTAAAGGCTTTGGAGCGCCAAAAGGTAATTAAGGAAACAAACTTTTCTTTCTTTTTCACATATGCAACCTGATGACTTCTGCATTTCCAGACAAAGAAAGATACTCGAAAATGATTCAATATATCATGCATCTTAATATTTCCAATGTCATCAAAGATTAAATAAAAGATCCGGTTGCTGTAAATCATCGGTTACGAGAATAGACTTGGTGAATTCCGTTAACAAAGTACTTCCGATGCTTCTCACTGAAATTTGATTTCTCGCCTCAATAAACCCTATGCGCGCACACACTTCTCACCCAGGTTGTTTCTGTGAGACCCCTGAGACCACATAAATAACTCCGTATCTTCATACACTTCGAAGGTAAACCTTCAAGTGTTTTTGCTGTGAAGGTTCATTATTTTTTGTACCTTCACAATGTCTTGTTGTGAAGTTTCAGTGTTATTTTGTGGTCTCACAAAAAAGTCTGGTCTCACGTGAATCTAAACCACAAAATTTTGACAACCAGAGAATCTGTACATTCATTGATGCATATACATTAATGAATTTTAGTGAATATATGCATCGATGCATATATACTTGCATACATAGTACATGTGTATTGATGAAGGGTTGAGTTCCAGTGAGGATGGAAGTTATCGTGAGAAGGGTAAGAAGGGATCTCCATCCTTGGATCAATCCTAATTGAAGATCAACACTATTGCGGTGCATAAAGATGCACGGATCAATTCCCATGAGAAACGCAATTCATGGGGTGGGGGTGAGATTAAAAGTGATCAAGGGTTGAGATTTCTCCTTCCGCTTCTCATATTAACTCCTATCTGACACGATTCTTCGTCATTGATGAATACTTCTATGACCGAATACTTACTTTGATAGTATATGCATCAATGAATTTACATGTTCTCCCGTTCTCAATTTTTTTGTGGTTCTCACATGAACCGTCCCCTATACATATCAGTTGCCTGTAACATTTAAACTCTTTTAAATAAATATGATGTATAATTGTCCCTTTAACGATGTTATTCCCTGTTAGGAAACTGATGATGATCTGGAGACAAGCTTGGAGGACTCTGAAAATGAATATGAAGGAAATAAAGATGCGGCACGTGCTCTTCTGCGTGTTAAGCAGAAGCTTGATGGATATGAAGAAGGCGAAATGAGGAGTGTGCATGGACAGGTAAAATATAAACAACACAACTAGAAAGTATAGTCGATAAGCATTACTTGATATGTCGAGTGCCACCATTATATATTTCCGTTGGTTCCATGAAAATTTTACGTAGTAACGAAGTAGTTTTTTTTTTTCTAACATCTAAAAGACCAAAAATCATTTGGGTTAGAGTTCAGGTCTGCATACATCTCACCCTCTCCCGACCCTGCTTTAGAGCTGGAATCGCTTGGTTTGGTGCATCTAAAATAGCAGAATAAATCTTGTGGACTTAAATCAGTAACATCGATGGTTTGTATCGATGATGATGGGCAATTAGCATTTCCACCTTCCCAAAAATTCGACCCATAAGAAGTCATTACAAATCATAATAATTGAAAAGTTTCTTACTTCTACATCATTAGTTTAGTAAGTTCAACTTTGACACTTCCCCGAAAAATAAAAATTTGCAATTTTGCGGTGACGGAGGAATCAGTAGTCTTTTTGATTCAGACACACTTCTGTATTTCTGAAATAAGTCTATATTTCTATTTTAGTTTGTTTCAAAATAAATGTTTACTTTTGAAAGTAGGTGCTTACTTTCCAATTCTACCCTTTTAAGATTGAGAAACTCTTTACCCCTTCTATGATTATGTGTAAAAATTGTCCTTTTGTTATTTAAAAAATATAATAATTACACATTTATAAAAATATATCTTTTTCATGGTGGACGTTTATTTTTGGGACGGAAGTACTAGTAAACTAGTATTTAAAGTAGTAGTAGCATGATTCAGAAGTAAGATTAATCTGATTTTGGCCTTCTTATTTCTGTTTTCTTTTTCTCCAGGTTCAACAATTGATACAGGACGCAATCGATCCCGATCGCCTGTGTCAGATGTTTCCGGGATGGGGATCGTGGTTGTAGCAAACGACACCCGACCAAAGCTTAACTGCTGTACAGTTTTCGTGCACTGATCTTATCCCGTGTATATGATTCGAGTTTTTTTTTCTGTGTCCTTTTCTATTTCATGTACAGTTCATCTCTAAGAGCAATGAAAAATACTAATACATAAACCCAAGCCTATTTTTTGCACTATGTTCATAAGCTATTTAGTTAAATGACCTTCGAAACTCAATTTAAGAATTTAATGTAATCTTAAGTTTTTACGCCAGCAAACTGTTTAGGGGTTTGTTTACTTTTTAATAGTTCCATTAAGATATAATATCTAAATCGTTAAGAGGTGAATCTTGTTTGACAAAAAAAGAAGTCTTGACTCTTAATGGTTCTAAAACCCTTTGTATCTTGGGCCTCCCTTAACCATTAAGACCCCTAATTTCATTGTAAACAATTATCAAACAATTATATTTCGTTTTGCACTATATCATGAGAGTATCTTAATCATTCTGACTATTTAATGATTTTGCACGAAACCATTCAGCAACTGCCAAACAACTCCTAAAACTGCGGTGAGCTAATCATGATCTTAATTGATAAGGTTATTCAGCCAAAAAAAACTCAAATGCTATAATGTATGCTAAAAATGGTTTAATGAATAGTAAAACACCATATTTGATGTAATGCTATTTATTTATATTATATTTGGTATTTTTTTTATTAACCTGAATTCTCAATCTGCTATGCGAGACGATTAATTCTAGAACGATCGTCTTCTTTACGGGTAGTTTGGAGTCACCGTATTTGAACATCCGTGGCTACTAGGAGATTTTTATTCCTCCTTGAATTTGAACTTGAAACCTCTAGATACTTTTGATCTTTGGAGTCTAAGTTTAAACCAATCAAGCACCATCTTTGTAGTTATTTATTTATATTATATTTGATATCAAAATTTCAGTAATGTTAAATTTGATTTTAATTAAATTTAGGACTTCCTGGCCTTATTAAAGAAAAGTGGTTTCATATTCATTAGAAAGTCATAAATTTAATTAAAGCTTCATTTAAAGTTATGTGACCAAATAATAAGGTTCTAAATAGTGTGGGGTGGCGCAAGGTTAATCACGAGTTAAGGTGAGACCATGGTGTTTTCAAAGTATGGTGTAAGGTGACAAATTTGTATATACAATATATATACAGATGCATATGTGTGTCAGTATATTGAGCAAACATATTAAAAGTATAAAAAAATCATATATTGATAATTTGATATCAAATGTTCAAAGCCTACAAAAAATTGATTGTCTAGCGATATGTGAGTTTTTGGCCTCCAAGAAAGTCAGGGATTCAAAACTCACCAAAGGTAAGGATGATATGTGAGTTTATTTGTTCTATTTGTTATATATATATATATACGGTTCAAACGAGAACCGTTGTGATTTAATACTATATTATAAAGCATTTGGCTAAAACTCTTAAAACTCTTAAACTCTTAAACTCTTAAAAACTCTTAAACCCGTTCATCTCTATCCGATTTCATCCCATATCTGAATTCGTGTAACTAACTGTAGATAAATACAATCAAATACAGGATAAACATCTCATTTTAA